TGCCCCCCCCCCCCCCCTAAATTGCAGTTGCCAACAATCATGACCTCAGTGGTTTTAAAAATGTGCTGTAATTGAAATGTATAAAATCTTCAACAACTAAAAAATTTAGATCTATCATCTCCTGATAAATATTCTAAGATGTTTAAAGGGTTAGGGTTGTGAACGTCAGATTTTTTTACATCAAAGTTGCATAAAATGTACATTTAGGATATCAGAGCTGACTGTTAAAGATGATGATTGTCATGGGTTAGGTTGAAAAAAAGTTTAAGCATTTTGCAGCAGTTTCTTTGCTAATGCTCACTCTGTATATTTACTTCACACCTCAGATTTAATCATTAGCCTAGATCACAGTTTCTGTGGGCAGGGCTAGAGACAGCTGTCAGTGTCAGTTTTCACAGCTTAGTAAAGACAAGCAAATGATTCTGTTTATTAGATTTAGCAAGGCATGAGGTCCTCATTTATGTATGGTGAAGTTCAAAGATCACTGCTCAAACAGGAGAACCTAGTAATCACCTAGGAAAGGGAGCTGGGAAAACTGGCTTGCTAACTCAAATTTTCCTTGCAGATATGGAACATCAAACAGATGATTAAGTTAACCCAAGAGCACCTAGAAGCCCTTTTAGATAAGTTTGGAGGAGAACACAATCCGCCATCTATATACTTGGAGGTGAGTTGGCCCGACAAAGAGTTTCTGTCATGGGTGTGAAATGAGAGTAATGTAAAGGTGTTTTACTATACCAAGAAAGTTAATTTTGAAAGATACATGATATGAAGAATATCATACATGAAGTGACTGGAATTTGACACCATCTATAATCGCAGTTAACTTTTGGTAGCAACGTGCTAATGGAAAACTCTGCTATGATCACTTATAAGGGTCCATGTCAGTTAACATGCTGCTTTACAAGGGATTTAGAATCTAAGGGTTTTGGCAAATCATTTATCTAATGTTTGAAACAACTGAATAAATTCAAAGGAGGAAAAGAACTGATGATGCCTTTAGCAGTAACATTGCCCCTCGTGTATGCCATAACGGCTAATGCATAACCCCAGATATTTATCCTTCAACAGGTTCAAAACACGAGCATTTATGCGAAACATGTTCATAAAGTATTAATGATTTATTTCCTCCACGCCACAGGCCTATGAAGAGTACACTAGTAAGCTGGATGCATTACAGCAGCGGGAACAGCAGCTTTTGGAGGCCATTGGGAACGGAACAGAGTTTTGCTCCTCGCCCACACCCATCCTGCTGGATGTGAAGGGACCGGGCATCCAGAGCGCCCCCGCCACCCCAAACACCTTAGCTGTCTTGCAGACCCCTACAGACGCAACACGAGGGAATCCCCGCTCACCCCAGAAACCAATCGTAAGGGTTTTCCTGCCCAACAAACAGAGGACAGTGGTGAGTGATTGCTTGTTGTTTGGTACTGAAAATATAAAATAAAAGAGAATTCAAAATATTATTAGAACTGAACACTATAATGTAAATGATACATACTACTAATATAATACTGGTCTAATGACAGAACATTAGGTAAGGGATCTGAAAAAAGGAGGTGCGTTATGTCTGTAATGATCTGCCCACATCTGGATTTGAGAAGTTTTGTCATGAATGGAGGTGGTAGGATATTTTGACGATACTTCACAGTAAGGTTTCAGGCAGGGCTTCAGAAAGAAAGGGCTTCTGGAAGGAATTTCCACTCCAACCAGATTGTAGAGCGGCGGGACTCCATGGGAAATGAGCAAATGTAGGTGACCCCCTTTATTTTGATTATGTGCTCAGCTTGTCTCTGTTGGTTTAGCAAAGAGAAGCGGCAGTATGAGCTGGAGCCAAGAAATCAAGCGTGGCCAGACGCAACCACAGTCTCACTGTAAGGAGATGATAGTGACGTGAGTAAGTGGTTTTTGTGCATGTTTCAGGTTCCAGCTCGTTGTGGGATGACTGTGAGAGACTCCTTAAAGAAGGCTCTGATGATGCGAGGCCTGATCCCAGAATGCTGTGCGGTTTACAGGGTTCAGGATGGGTAAGAACTGTATTCTGAACGCACATATTAACATCATTAGTGCTAAAACAAGCGACACTGTGAGTTGTACTTCACATTTAATGACTGTCCGGCCCACATTAGGGAGAAGAAGCCCATTGGCTGGGACACAGACATTTCCTGGTTGACGGGGGAGGAGCTCCATGTTGAGGTTTTAGAGAATGTGCCACTGACGACCCATAATTTTGTGAGTATGATGAAACTGACCACAAACTGTGGCTTAAAATAAATCTGAAATGACAAAAAGGAGGACGTTAGAGCCGAGAGTTGACATGTCAAAGGTGTGGTCATTTCTATTCTTGATTTTACTCTTCTTAAATGCACCTTGACATGTTGAAGACTTGTTGAGGTCTTTCTCATCCGCGTTGACCGTAATACATTGTTTTTGGAAGCATCCAGATTCTTTGTAATGACTCTTAAGTGTTATTCGGCGACTCGACAGGTGCGAAAGACCTTCTTCACGCTGGCCTTCTGTGACTTTTGCCGGAAGCTGCTGTTTCAGGGCTTCCGCTGCCAGACGTGTGGCTACAAGTTCCACCAGCGCTGCAGCACAGAGGTCCCGCTCATGTGTGTCAACTACGATCAGCTGGAGTGAGTCATCATGGGAGATTTTTCACTTCTGCATTATCCATAAAAGGCTTAAATTTGTTCCATGCATAATGCACAGTATAAATAAAGCTTGCAAATAATGTTTAAATAAAATAATGTTTATTTCTCACATATTCTATTTGAAATATTTTGTGTATCTTTGTGTATATTTTGTCCAATTAGAAATTGACAGTTTTGTGCTTTGGGTAAGTGATGGTTATGCATAATTTATTTGTACTGATGGTATAATTTTTGTTTATAATTTTGATGTTCAGTTTACTGCTGGCATCAAAATTTCTAGTGCACTACCCTATTACCCATGAGGAGGTGTCATCAGAGGGTACGACACCCGTGTCAGAGATGTGCCCCTCCCTCCCTCCCTCCGAGTCCACTGGGTAAGATTTTAGTCCACGTCTGCACTCTATTGACCATATAGTAGAGTAAATCTTATTAATATATAAGGTAACACTTTAGTTTAGGGACCAATTCTCACTATTAACTAGTTGTTTATTAGCATGCATATTACTAGCATATTGGCTGTTTATTATTACTTATTAAGCAGATATTTTGCATGACCATATTCTATATCCTTAATCCTACCCAATACCTAAACTTAACAACTACCTATGAACTATATAATATTTATATATATATTTTTTTTAAATAAAATTTTATATGCACTACTGTTCAAAAGTTCAGGGTTGGTAAGAACATTTTTTTTTTTTTTTTTTTTTAAATGTTTTAAAAGAAGCCTCTTTTGCTCACCAAGGCTGCATTTTTTTTTTTAAAAATAAAGAAAAAATAGGTATATTGTGAAATATTTTTACAATTTAAAATAATTGTTTTCTATTTTAATGTTTTAAAATGTAATTTATTGCTGTGATGGCATAGTACATTCTCAGCAGTCATTACTGCAGTTTATATGATCCTTCAGAAAGCATTCTATTATGCTGTTTTGCTGCTCGCAAATAATTTCTGATTATTATCAATTTTGAAAAAGGTTTTTGCTTAATATTTTTGTGGAAACTGAGACATTCAGATTTTTGATAAATAGAGTAAAAAAAGAAAAGTATTTATTTAAAATAGAAGTCTTTTGTAACGTTTAGTGTTAATTTCGTCAGCTATTTTAATTTTAGTCTTAGTCTTAGTCCCGGGCTAAAATGTCCTTGTTAGTTTTTATCATATTTAGTCAACCTATTTAGTTTTAGTCGACTAAATGTCTCAACATTTTAGTCTAGTTTTAGTCAATGAAAACTTTACGTTTTAGCAATAAGATTATTATTAATTAACCGTACAGCAGTATTAATTTTGCCAGCCATTTTTAATTTAGTCTTGCTCAAATGTACATTTTAGTTATTATATTTAGACAAAGTTGTCTTGTTATTGTTTATTCAATTAAATGTATGAGCATTTAGTCAGGTTTTTTAGTCAATGAAATACACATTTTCGTCATTCTGAATAATGTTTAAACTGATTAAAAAAAAAAAATCTCAAAATTATAATCGTACTGATTGTTGTCATTTGAGAAGTTTACTTTTGCATTTCAGGTATTGCACTTTCTCCAGTAAGCACAAATCAATAGAATGTGGACACATACATGGTGTAGGCTATTTTACCTCATCTAGTGTACTGATTTATTATAGGCTTTTTATTATATAAATCAACACCAAAGACTTGTGCAATCTCTCTGTCTACATTATGAAAACAGCTAAAACATACGAAAAATATTATAACAGTGAAATTCCTAGTAATTCCACTAATTGCAATAGTCTATTTCTCTATTAAAACAACAGCGATTGAGCAAGTGTATTTATTCAGCGATCACAATCACAAACAATATAGTGAGATCTCATGACAGAACACTGACCGACTGAATGACGCTTTCATTTAGATCGCTAAACTCCAGCTTGTTTGTTTTTCAGATCATCTGCAGCGGCACGAGCGCATGGTTGCTAGATTGCTTAAAATAAGCAAAACACACCGGGCAGAAAACGTATCAATGTAACAACGAAGCTCTGATTCGAGAATTAGAACTCTTGATATCTGGCAACCGCACTCATGAGAGCTTGCGTAGTAGAGGCGTGTAGAGCAGTCTGCAATAACATTGTCTCCTTTTTTGACGAAAATAAAAAGAGGTTTTTATCTTTTTGAATACATTTTAGTCTCGTCTTATTTCATCAACAAAATTGCATGTTGATATAGTCTTAGTTATCGTTTATTGACCTTATTGTCGTCTCGACTTAACGTCAATTTCGTTAACGAAATTAACACTAGTAACATTATAAATGTCTTTGTTTGTTTTGATCAATTTAGTGCATCCTTGCTGAATAAAAGTGTTAATTTCTTTATTTCTTTCAAAACAAAACAAAAAAAACACCACTTACTGGTCCCAAACTTTTGAATGGTAGTGTGTATACACACACACACACATCTATATAAAATATGTAGTACTTACTGCTATGTATCTTTTAATTGATTAATTGTAAGGGTCACATTAAGTATATACTATAGTGTGTAAGTGGCTTTAATCATGTACTAGGCTGAATTTCATTGTCTGTTTTTTCCAGGTCTCTGTGCCATCCTCTATTTTAATGTTTTAAAATGTAATTTATTGCTGTGATGGCATAGTACATTCTCAGCAGTCATTACTGCAGTTTATATGATCCTTCAGAAAGCATTCTATTATGCTGTTTTGCTGCTCGCAAATAATTTCTGATTATTATCAATTTTGAAAAAGGTTTTTGCTTAATATTTTTGTGGAAACTGAGACATTCAGATTTTTGATAAATAGAGTAAAAAAAGAAAAGTATTTATTTAAAATAGAAGTCTTTTGTAACGTTTAGTGTTAATTTCGTCAGCTATTTTAATTTTAGTCTTAGTCTTAGTCCCGGGCTAAAATGTCCTTGTTAGTTTTTATCATATTTAGTCAACCTATTTAGTTTTAGTCGACTAAATGTCTCAACATTTTAGTCTAGTTTTAGTCAATGAAAACTTTACGTTTTAGCAATAAGATTATTATTAATTAACCGTACAGCAGTATTAATTTTGCCAGCCATTTTTAATTTAGTCTTGCTCAAATGTACATTTTAGTTATTATATTTAGACAAAGTTGTCTTGTTATTGTTTATTCAATTAAATGTATGAGCATTTAGTCAGGTTTTTTAGTCAATGAAATACACATTTTCGTCATTCTGAATAATGTTTAAACTGATTAAAAAAAAAAAAATCTCAAAATTATAATCGTACTGATTGTTGTCATTTGAGAAGTTTACTTTTGCATTTCAGGTATTGCACTTTCTCCAGTAAGCACAAATCAATAGAATGTGGACACATACATGGTGTAGGCTATTTTACCTCATCTAGTGTACTGATTTATTATAGGCTTTTTATTATATAAATCAACACCAAAGACTTGTGCAATCTCTCTGTCTACATTATGAAAACAGCTAAAACATACGAAAAATATTATAACAGTGAAATTCCTAGTAATTCCACTAATTGCAATAGTCTATTTCTCTATTAAAACAACAGCGATTGAGCAAGTGTATTTATTCAGCGATCACAATCACAAACAATATAGTGAGATCTCATGACAGAACACTGACCGACTGAATGACGCTTTCATTTAGATCGCTAAACTCCAGCTTGTTTGTTTTTCAGATCATCTGCAGCGGCACGAGCGCATGGTTGCTAGATTGCTTAAAATAAGCAAAACAGACCGGGCAGAAAACGTATCAATGTAACAACGAAGCTCTGATTCGAGAATTAGAACTCTTGATATCTGGCAACCGCACTCATGAGAGCTTGCGTAGTAGAGGCGTGTAGAGCAGTCTGCAATAACATTGTCTCCTTTTTTGACGAAAATAAAAAGAGGTTTTTATCTTTTTGAATACATTTTAGTCTCGTCTTATTTCATCAACAAAATTGCATGTTGATATAGTCTTAGTTATCGTTTATTGACCTTATTGTCGTCTCGATTTAACGTCAATTTCGTTAACGAAACTAACACTAGTAACATTATAAATGTCTTTGTTTGTTTTGATCAATTTAGTGCATCCTTGCTGAATAAAAGTGTTAATTTCTTTATTTCTTTCAAAACAAAACAAAAAAAACACCACTTACTGGTCCCAAACTTTTGAATGGTAGTGTGTATACACACACACACACATCTATATAAAATATGTAGTACTTACTGCTATGTATCTTTTAATTGATTAATTGTAAGGGTCACATTAAGTATATACTATAGTGTGTAAGTGGCTTTAATCATGTACTAGGCTGAATTTCATTGTCTGTTTTTTCCAGGTCTCTGTGCCATCCTACTGTGTCCCCATCCAAATCCATCCCTATCCCACAGTCCTTTAGACCTGGAGAGGAGGACCACCGCAACCAGTTTGGCCAGAGGGATCGCTCTTCCTCAGCCCCTAACGTCCATATCAACACCATCGAGCCAGTCAACATTGATGTGAGAACTGGACAGTTCAACAGCTAATCAATATATTTTAGTCAAAAGCATTTAATCCATTTTAATGTTATAGGTCCCACTTAAAAATGTCTTTACTTACCACTTCCTGAATCAAAAAAATTAGTATCTAGTAATACTAATAAATATTAATATTGATAAAATTTGAAGTGTGCTGTTATTGTAGATACATTATATTATTATTTAAGTTGTATTACTAAATTAGTTTAAGTGTTACAGTTGCCCTTAACCATATCATCTTGTTCATTTTAATATTCTATTAATATAATTTTTTATACCCAAAATAATCAAAGGTACATTTGTAGTACACTGTAAGCAAAAAGCACAAAATGTTACTGCTCTCCCCTAGTCCCTGCTAATCTGTGTTATTTCTGTACAGGATTTGATCCGTGATCAAGGCTTACCGAGGTCAGATGGAGGTAAGTGTTGTTCGAAGCAGAAAACGTACACTAAGACACACTGAATTCAAATGGCTTTCCGTCATCCCATGTCTTTGTGCTATCTCTGTGTCATTGGCCTTAGAAGTTTGGGATAGCTGATCCATTTCACTCTGTCTGCTAGTAAAAGCTGACAGGCCTTTCTCTTCCCTGTCCGCTTTCTGAATTGCTTCAGCCCTTTTCTTTATCACAAGTGACCTGCTGTAAACTACTAATTTCTAATCTGTGTTCTCAAAACCCGCCCCTGTCCTTACTGCTTCTTCAAAACATGTCCCAGAACAGTTTAAAGGGACAGTTCACCCAAAAATGAAAATTCAGTCATTTACTCACCCTGATGTCGTTCCAAACCTGTATGACTTCCTTTTTTCTGTGGAACGTAAAAGTAGATGTTTAGAAGAATGTTCAAGTTGCTCTTTTCCATAAAACAAATGTAAATTAATACAGGTTTAGAACAACACGAGGGCGAGTAAATGATAACAGAATTCTAATTTTTGGGGTGAACAGACTGTATACAGAAATAATTAAAAACTGGCTCTGTGTCACCTAGAATTCACTTGATCATCTCTAAAGAACCTCTGAGAGTAGACACAGGATTTTGGTAGTGGGTGACAGGGAGTGCACCTGAGCTTCGGGGGCCAGTGATTCCGTGTCTGTCTCTCTCCCCCCTGCAGCCCCCTCGCAACACCCAGCCCGCTGCTTGAGGAAGAACCGAACACGGACCTCAAGCCCCCTTCTGTCCTCCCACCCAAATGACATTGTCTTTGATTTTGAGCCTGAGCCAGTATACAGAGGTAGCTTGGCCTTCTTGCGTGGCTGTGTCCCACACATTGTCTTGTCTTTTGCTTGTCTGTCTGTCTGTGTTTGTCTTCCACCTTGTGTGTTTTGTTGACATATTTCACTCCTTAAATTCTCACTTTCTTTGCCACGTTTTCACTGACGTTTGATGAGCTGCAGTCACTTTTCCTTAACTCCTCAGTACACTACAAACTCACTAAGGCAAAAAATGGCACATATGTCACTCAGATATTTCAGACGTACAGCGCACCACTGTTCATCTTTAAAAACACAAATAATTTTATAACAGTAAAGGAATCTTTAGTAAATCTCAAAATGAATACTCATTCATATTGTGATGCCTGAATTCACTTGCATCCTGCATAATAATAATAATAATAATAATAATTATTATTATTAGTTTAGAAAAAATAGTATTGAATGTTGCTATTTAATAGTTATTGACCATAACGTAAAAAAATATCGGCTTATCGGCTTAAGACAGTGTTATTTTATGATTATTTCTCATTTCTAATTATATTATGTAAATATTATTTATATTTATATTATTATATTATAAATATTTTGAATTCGCTTTAATTGTCATTTTCAGTGTAAGTTTTTACACTTAGTAATTGTATGTGCTTTTGTCATTTTAGTTAGTGTTTCGATTTAAAAAAATTTTTTTTCAGTTTTAGTAACTGCAGTACTTACACTTATTTTATGTCAGTTAGTTGTCAAGGCAACATTTCTAATTTTCATAATTTAAAAAAAAATTTTAAGGTCACAATTTTCATCTAATAGTTATTTTATTTCACTTAAAGGGGTCATATGATGCTGCTAAAAAGAACATTATTTTGTGTATTTCGTGTAATGAAATGTGTTTATG